GAGGCTGGTGCCTGCTGCTGCGCCGGCTGCTGGTTCTGCCTCGTCCCCTTGGCTCTTCGGCCTGCGGCGTGAGCCGGAGCTGCGGCACCCGAATCCAGGGGAAAGGGGCCCGCTCTGCTCACTGACTGCACGGACGCTGCTTGTGCTGAAGTCCTATTGGGTGTGCTTGAACTGTTTTTGGATTTGATGTTTTCCACATCAGGTGCACTTCTATTGCTGTGAAGGTGTGTTGTTGCATTGCATTGTTTATGATTCCCTGCACTGGATCTTGAAGATGAACTGCCTGTTCCATAGATCCCTCTGGATGAACTGTGATTAGAATCTGATCCGAGCGTGTTCAAGCTGGAAGAACAACAAGAGTTTAAATATACTCTACAGTGTTTCCATTCTTCCACATGAGAAAAGCATCGCTATGTCCAAAAGAATTCTGGAACTACACTGTTCTTGGCATATAACTAATAAAAATGTCTAAAACTTGTTTGACAAGTCAGTAGCCTTTACCATTTCCTGCTCACTTCCTTGCTGTACATATGAACAAAAGCACAGTAGAAAGACAGTCAAATATATTTATGCTGAAGGGACACTGAAAGGAGATTTCTCTTTAACTGAAGACGCCAAAGGTAGGAATTTCTGGTCCGCAATTTTCCTAGAGTCTCTACCTTTATTTTCAAGAACATTAACAGGAAACTTGACAGCGTTTGGATTTGGTTGGGCTTTTTTTTTCCTCAAAGATGAATATCCCTCACAATCACAAAACCCATCTTTTCAGCCGAGTCATCTTTTGATAAGTAACTGGGAGGATCTTTATTCATTCACTTGTTATAAAAAGCAGTACTACTTTCTTAATGGCCTTATAACTAACGAGGAAAAAAACAAAAGGGGAAAATATCCAAACAAGAAACTCAAACATATGCTTACTTTCCATCAGATGAAATTCCAACTATTCTCCTGAGATCAAGTGGTCTTGCCATGTCAAAGGGAGGGTTTGAGGCCTCAAAGGACAAGCGTCTCCTAAATGGCTCCCAGATTCCTTGAGCTTCTAGGTAAGCTGTTCCAATTACCAAGAGAAAGAGTACACTGTGGAAGACAGAGGCAGTCATCTAAGTATTTCTTAGTTTTGAGCATTTTAAGGTGAATGAATCTAAATACACAGGACAAAAAGTTTGTACCTTTTTCTGAAGAGCTGAAAATTGCATTCAAACCAAAACTTTGTCTGGTAGAAAAGTAAAACACAGAAGTCTATCAAGATACACATGTCACTAACACTGAGAACGGAAGCTTGGTGGAAGTCTGACATGCAGTTGCCAAGAAAATTAATTAAAAACCAAAAATAGATAGAATTAAAACAGTAAAATAGCATCAAAGTGGTCAGCAGCTCTCTAAGCTCATTGGTGCAATTCCACTTTAAATGCAGAGACCCTCTGCAGAGAATTAAATTTTGCTTCTGAGCAGCAGTACAAGAGCATTATTTCAAGGACTTTTACAACTAGCTGCATCTGCTGCAATACCGTGTTTAGTTCTCCACTTACATAATGCACTGCAATGAACTATATTTTTGAATGAAGCAATAAAACCACTGCAGAGACCTTCAGCACACTGCCATCGATTTCATCTTCTAACAGGTGGGAGTTTCAGGGGGAGGAGACACAATGATGATGACTAAAGCTTGCCTTGCCTATTACCCTAGAAAGTTTATGAGAAAAGAACTTTAGATTAACAACTTCTGTTTCTTTTCTCCTCCCTGTTCTGACTGCCAGTTTTTCTATGCCAAATGCATGAAAACTAGCATTAATTCAGAGAAAAGGATGAGATACCTCTTGCTTAATTTTAGCTAAAAGAATCTAATCTAGATATCACCTTTTAACTATCAACAAAATACAAGCAACTCTGGAGACCAAGTCAGCTGTTGATAGCTGATTGTTCATGCTTTCTTCCCTGCACCAGGGATTAAAAAGGATTCTTGATGATGAAAGGTAGGAAAAATCATTTTGATCCAAGATGTTAACAAATAACCAAAAAGTTACAGAAATTGGGGAATTTTTGAGACAAGCTTACACAAAGCATTACTCAAGAGTAATGCTTGCCTTGGTTGTCAGGCCATCAAATATGGAATTACCTTTGGGATGTAAGATATAATCTCTTTCACTTGTTAATTGTAATCCATGATGCTATTGAAATTGTCACAAGACTGATACCAACAAGAGCATCACATCTGTATCAGAATGGTGCTACACAAACTTGGGATGCAGTGCACAGGGGTTGGGTGGAGGTGGGTGTCACTCTCCCCCCTCGGCCCCACAGCATTCCCCTCATGGTATCATGGGTATGGGCCTCTTTTTTTTCCCTTTCTGCCTGTCAGCAGAAGGGGGTTAGAAAGTATTCTGAACTCCAACTGCAGCTTTAAAAGGAAGAGCCAAGTAACAGGGTGTTAAAATGACATATACAGAGTACAGGAGTTCTTAATTTTACAGTGTTTCTGCATTACAATGCTCATGGTATCAATGCTGGTCTACACAGAGTTTGTAGAGGGGAAGCTGCAGCAAAAGGTCAAATTGAGGGCTGACTCTCCCCTGACAGTCTCTGGGTAAGAACTCTACTCCCTCTACATTAGCCAGCTTTGATGTTTCAGCAAACGAATACCAGCTTTGAAATGAAAATCAGAACAAATCTTGTTTTCTGGTCTTTTTAATTGCACTTTCTGGTTTTGGTGTGGTGGTGCTGGAGCAGTGACTATTTTAGTTTTTTTGTTTTTAAAAAAAACTGTTATTAAAGAAGAGAACAATATAACTAGCCTGAAGTGTTTGTGTCATTTAAATTACAAAACAAATTAGTGTGAGGAACAGTGTGGAGTAACACAGTCTAGACACCAAAGAATGATCTTGGTACTATCCCTCTTTCCCCTCACAATTTTATCCTGGAGCACACATGTGCCTAGTTGGTAAAATCTTCATAAAAATGACTGGCTCTTTTGTCCTGTACATATCCTATCAAGTAGGACTATGAAACTTGAAGCCACAAGTATTGTAATAATCCAAACCAATACTGATTTAGAGAAGGAAAATATAAACATCACCTTATCAAATAAAAAAACATGAACTAGACAAACTCAGAGTTGTTCATTCATAGAAATCAAGGATAACGTTGCAACGATATAAGGCATTGTTTTAGTGGCAACTAGCAAACCCCTAGGTGACAGCATCCTAAAAATTACAGGCTGTCTGTGCACAGGATCCTTGAAATATGAAATAGCTACATTAGGACTCTTCTCTAGTTTGCTGCTAAGAAGAATGTTTTGTACTTGTAGGAAAAAGACACAATGATGGAAAGAATTAGTATTCTCTACTCTTTTGTGAAGTCTAATTAACAAATATAGTACATCTAAAATTATCTGTGCAAACTACACTTCCAAGCTGACAACCATTATTCTTTTTGTCAGGAAGCTAAGCTTATAGATTTCTAGTAAACATACAGAAAAAAACCCACTTAAGTACTTATTCAGCACTTTCCCAAGTAATGCAATATTAGCTAGGAAACAAAATTTCCTAAGTAACAGAAATTTCCTGTTACTTATGAAAATACAGTTTCCTAATTAACATTTAGGAAAGTGCTGAAGAGCCAAAAAAGAAAGTGAAACAGGCTGCAACTATCTTCTGCATTTCTTTTATCAACCCCTAGAAGGAAAAGCAACCCAATGGAACATTTACATAACATAGTACACCAAAATGGAAAAGCCAGTATCTTAAGAAGGGGGGGAAAAAGAAAAAGCATGAATATTACATGACTGTGATAATGCTTTTGATTTGCAGCACACAGAGAGACCACTTTTTTCATCACAGGCATCTACAGCAGCAATCCATCTCACACTAAGATATATGCTTAACACTAATGCAAAAAGAAAACTGCAGTAGTTGTTACTGGTAAGTCATCCATTTACGCTGCCAAGTTTCTATGCTAGGGTTTTCTCTGGATGAAGGCAGCAAGGGAAAGTGTTATTCAAGAGGTGAGCAGGGACACTGTTTACAAACAAAGAAAGATAGGGAGAGGTTAGATTAGGAAAGCACAGTGGAATTTTCAATTTGTATTTCAACTAGTCATAGCCAGCACACATCTGTTTGCTGAGAAAAAACTTGTACTTGTAGGAAAAAGCACTAACGCAGCACACATCTGTTTGCTGAGAAAAAAGTTCACTAACATGCTCCTACGTAACCCCTGAGCATGCAGCATTGCAAACAATGCCCTTCAGGTTCTCAGAAATGCCATTATTAGTATCACCAGTTGTCTGTCACATACAAGTGGCAGTGAAGTTACATTCATCCAAGGCATCTGCTTAGCTCATTACAGTTACTGCCTCGTATCTCTCTAAAGCACAATACTCAGAAGGATGCTTAAATTTCTTAATTTAATTGCTTAACTTGTGGGAATTTATGGTTAGCAGTGCTTTAGTATCTAATTTCACTCAAGTTTAGCTTCATTATTTATCAAAAACCTACACATTCTCAGGGTTAACATATGTATCTCACTTAAAGAAACAGGCCTAAGCAAAAAGCATATTATTTTCTCCTCAGTTTGAGCAGAAAATCAGTACTCCTCAGCCTTAAGCTGTTCACACTCAATCCATAACAGCATTTATTAATTTGCTCTCCTTTTTCACATCACCCTATTTTACTTTACACCAATTACAGCACGTACTGAATACATATATACTTCTCTGTAATCTGTATTCGAGCAGTGGTAGCCTGTGTACATATACCACTAAGAACAAATATATACACACTACCTCATTATTCCTGAGATGATTATGTACAGTGCCAGTTCCCAGTTGGGCCTGGGTAGTGCTTCTGCACATGTTGCTAACATGTGATATGGAAGGGATGCATTCAAGATAAATACGAATTCAGAGCCTCCTGCAGTGATGAATTTTAATTCACGTATGACTCTGGAAGCAGTGAAATCAGGTGTAAACCTGAAAACAAAGTAAAGCACGTTGGAATTTTTCATGTGAATAGCACAGAAGTTTGACATAATTTCTGTAATTCATACATTAAAGAAAACCCACAAAACCCCAAAACACTCCACCAATTACTTCCATGACTGACATATAAAATAGCCCTAAGTAGTATGACTAATAATCACCTATGCAATTAGCCCCAAAATACTTACTAGTATCTTTCAAATACCTCCAGATGTGTTTGACTAAGTTCATAACACCTATGTGTAACATCTGATACTAGATTACCACTGATATACCAGATGAAGATAACTTATAACTGAAATTATGTTTTGACCAAATCTGTTAAAAGCAAGCTATGAACGCAGTAAAAGATTAAGAGCAGCTCTAAGCAGGCAATGGAATGGACCCTTATGTGAGCTATACAGTTTTTAAACACTTCACCTTAAAGTCACAACTGCATGCTTTTTCAAAAACATCACATCACTGCTATATTTCTGTCTCATCACAAATATAAGACTGCTGCAGAAATTCTGCTGAAGTTTCACTGCCTGCAATCTCATACATTCTCTTAAAGCACAGAAGCATCTTCTGAACTTTTTAGATACCATATTCTGACTACGTAACTTCACATCCAAGCAGTGCTAAAATGTCAGTTTTGGTGCAGGGATCTTTTACAATAAAAACTGACAGAATTAAACCATCATTATCATTAAGGCAACAGACAAAACATTCAAGAACAAAATGCTCTGCATTATGATAATAATCCTTAGTCTAAAAGCTCTTTTCTATATACTGCAATGCACCAAAGGCATATGTAAATCTGGATCTCATGTGCATTCACAACCAAAATGAAGGAAATGTATAAAACCCCCATATAATAACACTATTCCAAACCAGTAACTTATAGTTACTGAAAAATAATAAAAAGTAATACAGACATAAAAGCTTGAAGCTATTTAAAAAACAAATAACGCTTGCCAGAAGACAGAAAAATTTAATGTTTTAAGTTGTATAAAAATAAGGGACCCAGAACATTCAAAGCTTAAGTAAAACACCCCAGAATTTAACCAACAGTTTTCCTCCAAAACAGAATTAGGTATGCAGAATTCCTAATGTAAGACTCCATTCAGATATAAGAAAAAACACTTACAATATGACAATGTCTTTAGAGGCATTGGCACTTAGTGCAAACTCATGACAGTTAACTACTTTAAATCCATATCCTTCACATGTATAGCCACTGATTTCCATAGCTTTCACATTAATCTGCAGCTGCCCTGTATTTTCCACTTTAAATGTTCTTCTCAGTGTGAAATTTGGTTCTTTGTATTTCATTTCTAGAAACAAATAGGAGAAAGTGATTAGTGTTATGCTAAACTGATATCCTTCATTATATTCATATTCCACAGGAGAAGAGAGCTCTGTGAGTACTATAGCATCAAAGGGGACTAGCAAGGTCCATGGAAATCTTTAACATAACTTGCAAAAACAGATCTCTGAAGCCAGACTCTCCTCCCTGTCAAGGCAGGGCACTCACACAGTTCCAGAGCACTAACTCACCGGGGAAAAACCACAAACTTTCAAACCTCCAATAAGCAGTGCTGCCTCACAAAAAAATCATCTAAGTTATAAAGTTCTTTGAAGTACTGCTTAGTCTTGTGGTATTCTGTGGAAAGTCCCAGTATGAGAAGAATTAAAGCTTATTTTTGTGTGTCAAAAAAAAAAAATCCACAGCTGAGCTACACATAACCTTACTAGAAAAAAAAAAAAATCCCTAAACCACATGTAAAAGGTAATGACTAAGCTTTACTTTAAGTTTTCTTACTCATCCCTCAAACCAGAAACATCTCAGATAATAATTAACATGGCAGCTTACAAATCTCTTTGGAAATCTGCACGGTAATAACACAGATTTTAATACCAGATACAACAAACCTCCTTTACCAGTTCCTTTGGTAAGACAGGTACTCGGCTCTCCTCTCAGAAGCAAGCCTGGGGCCACAGAGCAGAAAAAATCTGATGTAGAATCTGGATGGGATTTAATTTTCTTCAAGGAACATACCCTACCTTTTCCTCTGTCAGCTATGTGCATACAGATTCTGAAGGTGTGAGGGGAAAAAAAACCCGAACCAACAGGAAGATTCATCTGTGATCCAGACTAAGTTACATTTAGGAATTGGAGATTATCCTAGTAAACTTCACCACCTCTGCCTTGAATTTTGGTGGATGAAGGGCTTTTGTTTCATCCTTCCTAATTTTCACATTAAAATGAGAAAGGCAAAATATTCTATCTCTGCCTCAAGGAAGAAGCAATTTTAATGTAAAGGAATTAAAATTCTGAGGCACTAAAAGAGAGGAAAAAAATATTATCACACATTTCAAGTTGTACATGTAAAATGTCATCTCTGTTCAGCATAGTAGCTCAAAAAGTACTCACTTTCTGAACAGTCTTTTAATAATGCTTCTGTGATTTTAAAGCGTAAAGAACTTCCTGGACCAGGAGGTTTGCCTGCAACCTTCAAGCTCTCAGTTGTTCCTTGTCCTTGTACCACTATGGCATCTATTACAGTCAAATTATTTCTGTGTACAAAGAAAAAGGGGAAACATTCATAAAAGGATTATGCAGCCTATTGCTCCTGCAAGCTTCTCAAGAGACTATGAAGCTAAATCCCAAATTTTGAAGACTGAAATATAAGCAGTTCTACAGATAATTCCCCACAGTATGGAAGTACATAGTGTGGGTCTCAAACACGGTGTTTGCAAGACAAAAACCTAAGAAATCATAGCATCATGTACAAATAAAAACTCAGTGAGGTACTGAAGTTTCATTTCATCATATGAATGTATTACACATGATAAAAAAATGAAATAGGTATTCAAACAGAGCTCTTCACTAGAAAGACTGAATTTGCATTGCAGCTGGATCTTGCAAATGGCACCTATGAGAGTCCCTACTGTAAGATAGTGTAGTAGTTATCTAAGAATTCAAGTCTCCCCATGTAACACTGGATTATATATTTATATTAAAAAGTATATATCAATAGAGTTTGACTACTATAAAACATATCATAATTACATTTAAATTAATTCTTTCTGCAGACACATGATTCTACAATTATACCTGTAAAAGCCATAGCTTCTTACTGGCAGCTGATCACAAGAACGATCTTACATATTAATGAAAAAAAAATTATAAAAACTCACACTTATTTCAAAAATATCTTTCATACCTGATAACAATTAACGATGAAACAGTTTTATTAAGAACTGGAGTGAACTTTACTTTGACAGACTTCCTCTCTCCAGGTTTCAATATTAGGCTTAAAACTGAATGACGAGTCAGGCCCTTTGTAAGTCCTACAGTGCTCTGTAGTGGCTGGACCTTAGGAGAGTGGGGGAAAAAAAGTAACATTTAAAAAAAATACGCAATTTTTACACATTTTTTTAGAAATATTATTATTTTACCTGAAAATTGGTCTTGTCATAAAGAATTACACTACCCAATGATATACACTGTTCTTTTTAACCAGGAAGTCTGATAGCACAAGAATTTCCCTACTTTCCGAACCACCTGTATTTATTAAGAAGCAGAACACAGCAAGCCAGAACTGAGCTAAATTACACACATATGACTTCATAAAGCTCTAGTAGAAGAAAGAGGTCAGAAATCTTTTAAATGTATATTTAAAACACCAAATTAGCATTAAGCCATTGTTTAACATTTTCTGCCCTCACAATGTTCCACTGTCCAAACAGTTTTAGAATGTTAGTTTTCCTAAGTAAAGGAAAACAGGGGAAAAAGCAAACTTGAAATAGAAGAACTACTGAAAAAAATGTATTTTGCTACATTTGCCTTTAAATACTGCACAAGCACCAAACTGCTAACCTAAAATAAACTGCATATAGAGAGGAAAAGGGTTATATATTGCATGAGTAAAGAAACTGTTCAGGAAGTGGAATGCTCTATATGAAAAGCACACATTAAAGATGTCCACAAAACTCAAATCATTTAAAATAAAGACCAAAGCAAGGCAAAACTCCATACTTTGTTCATTTTAGAACTACCAATCACTACACTAAAGAAAATAAACCTGTATCAGTACAGAATTAATAAATGCAGTTTTCCTAAACCTCCAGTCCTATTACAATGTAAGCATCCAGAAAAAGTGACAGTTTAACTGTTGCATTTGAAGAAATACTACTTTTCCTAATTCCCTGAAAATTTCTAACAGAAGCATCACATTTTTCACACAACACATACAACTGAAGTTGTATTAAAACTTTACATACCTAGATTTTAAAAATCTAAAGAACATATTAAAATACTTACACAATTTCGGAAGACCTGGAACTCTAGAGTCCTCAGATTGAAATTAGTTGGCTTACTCAAATTAAACCTGAAACAGACATGCATTTTTTTTCCCTCAGATCAGGAAAGATAACGACACACAGTTAAGAATGTTAGCACAAATCAAGAACTTATGGTAGGACTCAAACAGTATGCTTCTGAAAGGAATATTCTTTTTGTACTATTTCCCCCTCCTTACACTTCAAGTCAAGGAAGACAAGTAAACATCATTTAGCTTAGTAAAAAACACAGATGTACATTCAATGGCAATCAGTTCTAGATTCAGTTCTTAGCTGGCCTATTGATTCAAATTCTTTAAGTGGCCAAAACAGTAACTACCAACATAGCTGCCAAATACTGCCTGTATTTTCTGTGAAATGCATTTGGCTGTAGTGTGAGAATGGTCTAACCACTCTGTAACAACACTCACCGTTGTAACATCTTATCAACGAAGGTGGATGGGTTAGAATAGAGAGCTACAGGAAGGAATTGAACATACACAGGAACATCAGCTGGATTTTCTAGAAAAATTTCTTCTTCCTATTCAGAAACACAATTTTGGTAAAGTTTACATTTGGGTAAATGTAATTAGAAAGAGCTATTAAAATTTAGTCCTTTCAAAATGATACTGTCAACGAAATAACTTACTGATGAACTGTTTGTATTGGTAAGAGGGAAGCTTAGATGGCGTGGTGAACTTAGTATGGAAGGCCAGGCCATTTCTGCTGTAATTTTCAACTGGACATCCTTCTGCAGATCTGTGTCTACTTCAAATACAGCATTCAGTCTGGAGAAATAGTTAGAAAACTTACTTTACAAAAGTAAAATAGGAAAAACCTGGAAAAAGCAGAGCGCTTAAAAGTACCCTGAAAACATCTGTTTGAGAAGGAGAACAGTACATTTTATATATATATATA